CCTGTATATCTGTTAAAATGAGATGTCAGTGTTATTTTCATTTTTGTCTCATTTAGATGAGAATTTATCCATCGCACCCTGTATACCTGTTAAAATGAGATGTCAGTTATTTTCATTCTTGCGGCATTTAGACGACAATTTATCCATCACACATTGTATATAGAGTGTGTAAACTATTCACCTGTCCAGGTAGTTGCAACCAGTCATAAAATGCATTATCATGTGAAGCACCTCCATTGTTTTATTTTCACAGTGTTCATCCCCTTTTTAATTGATGTAAATTTAGATTGTTACAGTACTTCCTATTTAGCCCTTACTAATTACAGTCGACCACAGGGATTACTACTTTTTTAGCATCCTGAATCTCCCTCAACAATAGAATCACCAGTATGTAACTTTTTAAGCGACTTTTTTTTTTTATAATCATATAATAATTATGCTTGTGCTCATCTTCATTAGTTCGCACAACCATTATGCCCTGCCAATACTTCATAAATAATAGAACCATTCCATTTTGATTGCATCGAAAGAGAAGGCATATCAGAGAAGCTACTTGGTTTTAGTGACGCCCCCCCCCCAAAAAAAACCCCCAAAAAACAAAGTGTTTAATACCTCTTGCTAATACCTCTAATTAATGAACTATTCTCTTTTCATCATGTGTGAAAGCAAAACACATAGCAGCAGCAACACTACTTGGTTTCAGTCAGAAAATGAATGAAAAAAATGATAGAAGTGTTTAACATGTTTCAGTGAAATGGAAAAAAAGTTATCAATTTCAAATATTTCATTTGTACCCACTTCTTAAAATAATGACCAGAATTCATATTTATGATTGTTATTGCAATATATTATTAAAGCTGTTAAATTCAAATATTTTAACGATGCAACAAGGGAATCTCTATGGATATTTTATTGTCATAGACCTTGCCATTAGTTTATTCAATCTCTAACAGAATCATTATGATTCATCAGAAGTTTAAAATAGGAATACCAAGAAAATTTCAGAGTTAAAACAAGTTCGAACGAATTTACAGAGAAAAGTGACAGATAATTCTAATGATGAGAATATCCGTTTCCATTTGACATTCATTCTGGTTATGGCAAACGTGAGATTAGCCGTTTCCATAGAGTAAACTTTCAGCATTGTCAGAACAGCCAGTGATATCCATTTTCGTTGTTGCTACACTTGGAAATCTTGAAGTGATGGGGTTTTATTATTTGGCAAAGGTGTGTTGAAACATTTTCTTATAAGGAAACACTCTTCACTCCCTGGACATCAGGCTGCGATCAAAGTGTAGTATCAGTTCTCCTCATCTCTAAAGATAATGGTAATATGAGCGATTTTCTAATAAGGAAACATTCTTCTTTCCGGCTGAGGTTTTAGACAAATATTGGATCGTTTCTTGGCCTATGGCTGAGATTCGATCAAGGCTTTGACTAGCTTGGACTGGCTCCGGCCTGGACAAGTCATGACCAGCTTCGACTAGGCTCTGACCAGCTTGGACAAGCTATGACCAATTTTGACCAGTGGCCTTTGAGTGGAAACACTCGGGTCTCCCACGTTAAACGACCTTGTGTCACATCTTGATTTTGTGGGAATCAAGTAAATACCTTCTTCACTCCCTGGACATCAGGCTGCGATCAAAGTGTAGTATCAGTTCTCCTCATCTCTAAAGATAATGGTAATATGAGCCATTTTCTAATAAGGAAATACTTGGCATTCATCGACTGAGCAGACAGTGCTACTTGGGTTAGGTTTTGCTTCACTCCCTAGCCATCTTTGTCTGTGCAATTGGTTCTATTGTTAGAATACCAATAATGAGTTTGTGGGCTGAAGATATGTTCAGTGTTGCAAAGGCGTGAATCTTTTTGTAGGGTGTAGAAATCTCTATACCCTCGGAAAATATACCGGTAAACATCTTGAGATAGTGAAAGCTGGATGATGAGTGAAAGAAACAAAGACGAGGCAGTAAATAAAAATTAATGTAGCATTTAATTTTTTTTTTTTTTAATCGTAATTGACAACCAGAATAGAAGAGTGTTCCACGAGTGAGAATTTCTAATCATGTAATCATGTTCTGTCTCATTTTTGGTTATGGCAAACGTGGAATTAACCATTTCCATAGAGTAAACCTTCGGCATTGCTTAGCTGAATAGACAGTGATATCCACTAGCATTCACATTTATGATTGCAATATTTTGTTAAAGTCATTAAGCTTAAATATTTAACGATATGATAGGGGAATTTCTTACAGATATTTTATTGTTGTAGTACTCACCATCAGCTTATTCAGTCATTAACTGAAGAATTAAGATCCATCAGAAAATTCAAATAGGAAAACTGTGAAATTATTACGGGTCTTTCTAGTTTTGTTAAGCTCAAATATTTAACAATGCAATAGGGGAATTTCTACAGACATTTTATTGTTGTAGAACTTGCCATCAGCTTATTCAATCAACTTAATTAAAATTCCCTGCTAGTAGGTTGAATATATCCACTAGAAATCTGTTCCGAGAGTTGGTATGCTAATTTCAAATCTTTTCATTTGTATCCCCTTACTTCTTAAAATATACGATCAGCATTCATATTTCTGATTGTTATTGCAATATTTTGTTAAAGTTGTTAAGCTCAAATATTTAACAATGCAATAGGGGAATTTCTACGGACATTTTATTATCATAGAACTCGCCATGAAATTATTCAATCAACTTAAGAATTAAAATTCCCTGCTAGTAGGTTGATTATATCCACTAGAAATCTGTTCTGAGAGTTGGCATGCTAATTTCAAATCTTTTCATTTGTACCCCCTTACTTCTTAAAATACTGAACAGCATTCATATTATGATTATTAAAATATTTTGTTAAAGTTATTAAGCTCAAATATTTAACAATGCGATAGGGGAATTTCTATGTATATTTTATTGTCATAGAACTTGCCATGAGCTTCTTCAATCATTAACTTAAGAATGAAGATTCATCAGAAATATCTGCTGTACTTCATGTTGAAGCCTTTTCCTCACGTGTTGCCTGTTCTCAAACTGTGTCATACTGTAACTTACTTCTTTTCTGTCTGTAAAAATTATTATTCTTTTCTGTCAACTTATTATTGTAAACGGTAAAACATATTCCTCTAAGCAAAATACTTGTGACCCATTTTATCTATTTAGACTCACAGTCTCACTGATATATTCAGCCTTTGGACTCTCTTTATCATATTTCTTCTTTCTTTTCCTTTTTGTTATTCAGACTAAACTAGTCCTGAGCTTGTATTTATTTCTTTTTCTAGTTTTGCATTTATGGCTTTCAAGAAACCTGTTGATGAGCAAAACTTTGTCTTTGGAAGTTTTGATTGCCATAAAGCATTTATCTTGCTGTCAGGAAACAGATGCTTATCAGAAGGCAATACAATAGTGAAGGCTTATTCCGAACTAAACACATTTCCCGGATTAACCGAATACAAACAACTAGTGCACATAGTGTGCCAATGGGTCTCCAAATGAACCTTCTCAGGTTTTGAATTCAGAGTTAGTTGGCCTTCTCTTAGACTGGTTGCCAAAAAAAAAAAAAAAAAAAAAAAAAAGCTAAAATGCCCTACCAATTATTTTGCTGTCCTTTTTATTTATTCATTTTTCAGACTAGTCTCAAGTTTGTATTTATTTCTTTTTCTTGTTTCAGCCTTTTGGCTTTCAAGAATCCTATAGATGAACAGGATTTTGTTTTTAGAAGTTTCAATAGCCATAAGGTGGTTATTTCATTGCAAGATGGATGCACATCAAGACGCAATACACAGTCGTTTGAGGATTCTGTCATGTACCCTCAACAATAGCATTGTCGGTACATAGCCTTCTTAACACTTTTCCATTATACATTGGCTTAATACTGTATTATTATTTGAACATTTAAGGTAGCCACCGTCTGTACATTTATTTTTGCAGCCATGCTTCAACATGTAGAAGCCCTCATGTGTTGACTGTCCACGCAGTGTCATACTGTGATTTTCATGTAATCCTCCCCATGTGTTGACTGTCCACACAGTGTGCCATACCGTGATTTTCATGTAACCCTCCCCATGTGTTGACTGTCCATATTAGTGTGTCATACCGTGATTTTTCCGCCCTCCCCATGTGTTGACTGTCCACGCTGTGTCATACCGTGATTTTCATGTAACCCTCACCATGTGTTGACTGTCCACGCAGTGTGTCATACCGTGATTTTCACGTAACCCTCACCATGTGTTGACTGTCCACGCAGTGTGTCATACCGTGATTTTCACGTAACCCTCACCATGTGTTGACTGTCCACGCAGTGTGTCATACCGTGATTTTCACGTAACCCTAACCATGTGTTGACTGTCCACGCAGTGTGTCATACCGTGATTTTCATGTAACCCTAACCATGTGTTGACTGTCCATGTAGTGTGTCATATCGTGATTTTCATGTCACCCTCCCCATGTGTTGACTGTTCACACAATGTGTCATACTGTGATTTCATGTAACTTTCATAACTGTAAACGGTAAAATATATTCCTCTAAGCAAAATACTTGCTACCTACGTGTCCTATTTGGATCCTCGGTCTCCACTTATATTTCTGCCTTCAACTCCCTTTGTTATATTTCTAATTTCCCTTTGCGTTTATTTTGTTATTCGAACTAAACTACTTTCAAGTTTGTATTTATTTCTTTTTTTCTATTTTCACTCTTTTGGCTTTCAATAAATCTGCTGAAGAACAGGATGTTGTTTCTAGAGTTTTGATTGCCGTTTTGGCTGTCTGCGGTACGGACATCTATTGGGAGACAGTACAGAATATATACAAAAATAAATTAAAAGCAACCCTGGGTATATGTTTTATTTTGCTTTGTTCATTTCACATGGCAGACATATAGCTGGACTTAAAAAAAAAAAAAAAAAACAGAAACAAAACCGTATTTCTTGTCGTTTTTTTTTTTTTCCCAGACACCAAAACAGCTTCCATTTTGGTTGCTAAAAAATAAATTCTGTTTAGGTTCTGGAGCGAGATTTGAACGAAAAATGATGACCTGAAAAAGACAAAGAAAAAAAAAAGAAAGCATTAAAAAGTGAATATTGCTTTTATTTTGTAGCAGGATTGGTGGCCACGTCGAATAAAACAATTTCATCTGCATCCTAACTTTGACAATCTATCAATTACTGATGGTGTGTGTCTGTCGATGCAAAAAAAAAAAAAAAAAATCATAATAGATTTTTGTTATAAAAATTATTGACAATGCAATTTCTGAGGTTAGAAATGGCATCATAAAACTTTCCACTAACAAAAAAAAAAAAAAAAAAAAAATTACATAGATAAAGCCCTTTGTAAAGTGTAGGCTGTACTTGTCAGAACAATTTTTTGTATTTCTTTGAGGCATGGGCTTCCAGGAATCCCTTCAATTGGTCTACTGGAATCTTTTCCAACCAATCCTAGGGCTCCAACTAAAACAGGGATTGTTGATATTCCCATGTGCCACATTTTTTAAATTTAGATTTCAAGGTCCTAGTATTTTGACAGCTTTTTGAATATCTTCAAAGATACATTGCAGTCTGCAGAGACTGCCATATCAACAAGGAGGCACTTTTTTTGTTTGTGGTCTTTAATAACAATGTCTGGGTGGTTGGCTTTGATTGTTCTGTCAGTGTGTATTGTGTAGTCCCATAGAATTGTAACAGGTCCTATCTCCGTAACCGGGTCTGGGTGGTGTTCATACCAGTTTCTTTCAGTTTCCTTCCCATAGAAGTTGCAGATTTTCCAGTGCAGATATTGGCACTATTATTATTATTATTATTGTTGTTGTTGTTGCTGTTGTTGTTGATAAAAAAATTATTTTTGACAGTTTTATAATCACATGCTTCTCAGAACTATGCCTTTGGGTTTCCTGGAGAGATGGAGAACAGGGATTTTGTTGATTTGATCTTGAGTTCCTTTCTTTATCAGACCCAAAGCTCCAAACTCAATAGGGACAGTTTTAGTTTTTAAGTGGCACATTTTTTTTCCACAAAGAACTGTACCAAATAACAGAAAGACATTACTTGAAGACTTTCAACAGCGAGAAAAATTAGAATAAACAGCACATGTAATTCGAAGAGAAAAAAATAGCATGATCAAGATGTTGATCTTCCACACTACTTCCTATAAAAGGTGTGAAAAGAAATCCCCATCCATAATGTAAAGTGTGATAACAGCTACTGGACTTAAGAAAGGTGTGTTCCTGAAAAATTATTTTCAGAGAAATATTTTATAAATTTTAACTGACAGTAAAACTAGCTGCTTGGTCAATGCCGAATATTTCCTTATAAGGAAACAGCTAATATTAGCATTCAGCATGAATGAATAAAAATCTTTGGGGGCAGGGGAGACATAAAATTTTTTTTTTAAATTTCTATTTTGACATATTTTTCTGGTTTAGGTAATGGCATATCAAATTCTTATGGGTCATTTAATGCTAAAATTTAATTTTCTTGAGAGCTTTGGTAATTTTTTTTTGCTATTGAAATCTAATGCAGGTATTATTATACTTTCAGAGGGTTTTGATCCCATTTAGGGGGTTCACTATTTGCCCATAGCCCTAACAGGTTTCTACCACCCTGGGTCAGGGTAGAACTGAGAACAACAGAAATTAAAAGTGGTTCCAGATAGATACGAATAGAACAAGATATAGTTGAAATAGTTAGATATAATCGTAAGTTCTATGTTAATTGTTTCATCTCTTGCACTTCTCACTTGTGGAAATCTGATCCTTAAAAATTTAAATGCAATGTCAAATTTTATTTACTGTCTTTTCGATTCCTCTTCTTTGATTGTTCTCACTCTTCAATAATGTTTTCCTTTTCCTCATGTGTTCTTTCACACTCAGTAATTCCTTGTGTGTCTTTAGTGGTTTTACTTAAGATGATATAATTAAAACAAAAAAAAATATATGTGGTGGTGGTGGTGGGGGGGGTTTAAACATGCCTTACCCTCAGAATATATTAAGAAAGTGTGGGATCTTCCACAACAAACCAGCCTTACCTCTTTTTAGGAAATGCACTCTTCCTATCTGGTAAGTAACATCCTACTTTCATACAAATATAACAAGTATTCATTGGTCAATCACCTCCAATCTAGCTTGCTTGATTGGTCAGTTCCACCAATCAAATCAAAAATGCACATGACCAATCTGTTTTTCCTCGTTCTCCGTTTGAGCCTCCCATGTGGTACATGACCATTATATAAACCGAACACGTGTAACTCTCTGAGTAGTTTTTCTTTCCATTCATCTCTTTGATGCTTCTCATTCCTTGCTACCAAGTGCCAAGATGTAACCTTCAGGAACTCCCGTCTTAGTCTTTGCTGGCCAGATGTTAAAGACAATTACCAACATTCACAAACTCTGAAATCACTCCTGAAATTTTACCAACTTTACAACTCACAATTCCAAACTTTCTTAATATGAACTCCGGTACAAATACTACCAAGTCAAAGGAACCCAACTCTGTCCTACCTTTTCAGTTCGCATGCATGTACATGAAACATTAATAAATTTAATTGTTATGTTTTGAAATCATTCAGTTCAGTTTTGTATTTTATACTATGTGCTATTTACGTCAAGTATAAATTGCATTGTGTCCACGCATTGTCCTTAATCTCATCTTTCTTAGCCAAAGTTAAATATTAGTAACTCAATCACTACAATAATGATGACTGTGTCGTTCAACGTTCACAACAACAATGGTAATACAACCGCTACATATTTGGCGATTCCGTCGGGAATAAACAATAATGGTACCCATATCGCTACAAAAGCATCTGTTTAAATATTAAAAAAAAAAAAAAAAAAAAAAAACAAGACAAAAACAAAAATGCATAAATGAAAAAGCTTACCTGAGCAATCTAAGATTTCGACATAGGTTTTCTTTCGGCAGCAATTCTTACAGAGAGCATAGCAACATTTCTGACCCTGGAAGGTAAATGATGTTCTTTATAAATATGTGTTTGTTATATTCTATAGAAATAAATAAAAAAAAGAAATTATGGCAATCTTGAACTTTGGGAAAAAAAAGAAAAAAAAAAAAGAGGTTCCAAAAGTACAGTTTTTTCCCTCGGCGCTGCCATTATTAAGTCACCAATGTTTAACTACCATCACTATTCGGCAATGTTTATTGCTTAAAAAGCAATGATTAGAGTTTTGCTAAAACCTAAACGTATGAAAAGTGGATTTATCCATTGCCCTTGTTCTTGAGAATTTATCCATTTTCCTTGTTCTTGAAAATTGACAACAAAAATAATAAACAATATTTATTTATTAGATTATTTATTGGAATGGTTGACAAAACATTGACTAATTGCCAATTGATTTGATTCTTACAAAATGGTAAATAATAAGGATTTCCTTATAGTTGGTTCCCATATTTTAATAATTTAGTAAATGTTTATAAATTTATGAATAAAACATTGTTTTCATATTTCTTGATAAATTGGCAAATGATGAATATTCCACTGCATTAATTTTTAATTTTATTAGTTTTTAGAAAGTTTAAATATAAAATTATTCTTGTAAATAAACAATTTAATAAATAGTGTTTAATATTTTTGTTGTAAATTCTCAAGAACTAAAAAATGTATAAATTCACTTTCATCATATATTTAGGTTTTATTCGAATTCTAATTTAAATCATATTGCTTATTGGAATGGTTAGCAAAAACATCAGTGAATTTCCAATTGATTCAAACTTTATAAAATGGTAAATAATAAAGATTTCCTTATATTTGTCCACATATTTTAATAATTTAGTAAATGTTTATAAATTTATGAATAAAAAATTGTATTCATATTTATTTCTTTATTAATTGGTAAATGATAAATATTTTATTGCATCAGTTTTAATTGTATTAATTTTTAGAATGTTGTAAATATAAAATTCTTGTAAACTGAACAATCACTAATGTGCCTGAGCAGGAATCAGCAGCAGGGCGAGGCTAGCCACCCTAGCAGACAGGCATACTCAGAAACGAGCGGCCAAACATTGCAGTCAAGATCCTGTTGCTTAAATAATATCTGTGATGTCAGAGATGAATTTTGATTGCCACTGAGTGGGGAAAAGCATCACTAACTAGTGTAGCATGTTTCCTTATAAGGGAACAGCTAATATTTATCTATCAGCATTCAATATGGTCTAAGCCACCCCTGTAAATATCAAAGTCTCACTATTTGTGGTTAGAGCTTCACTGTTTACGTGATTTCCTGTGTTATTTGTGACGATGCTGTCATGAATTATGGTAGAGTATACATGGGGTGGATGAAACATTGAGGACTGGGTGAGTTGATTGCTAAAGGGTTAAAGGTAGGGAGAACAGATACTACACTATGATCTGAGACTGATAGTGAAAGAGAGAAGAAAAGTATAACTCCAGTAGCCGTGGCCGCTCAGTCAATGAATGCCAATTATTTACTTATAAGGAAAGAGCTAATATTAACATGAAAGGTGAGGAGAACAGATACAACGCTATGATCTCAGTTGAATGGCCAGGGAGTGAAGAAGAGCAAAATGCAAGCAGATGTGTCTGCTTGGTCAATGAATGGCTGATGTTAAAATTAAAAGTTTTTTTTAGATATTACATTATGATCTCAGCCCAATGGCAAGGGAGTGAAAAAGAGTGTAACTCAAGTTTTTGTGGTTGCTTGGTCAACGAATGCCAATTGTTTCCTTATAAGGGAACGGCTAACATTAACCCTTGAGTCCTGGCCACTGCTTTACCGGTGGCAGAGAAAAATGACGTAATACCTAGCCACCATTTGAACGGTGGTAGAGAAAAATGACTTAATGCCCAGCTACTGGTTGAATGGTGAGTAAACACTTGTAACTATTTTTATATCTATCGTGAAACATTACATACCAATTATTTGCAAAATTTGACCGAGGAGCTCAGGCAGAAGGGTTAAAATTGTTCAGGAACGCAAGGCTCAAAGGCTTAAAAGTGAGGAGAACAGATATTTTGATCTCAGCCCAATAGCCAGGAAGTGAAGAAAAGCATAACTTACTGTCTGTTTGGTCAATGGTTGGTTGGTTTTATTTAGTGGCATATCAACATCTATGGGTTATTTAATGCCAAAATCAAATTTTTTATATGCAGTTTCATTTGTTGGTCTTTTGGGATACAAATCTTACTAATTAACCCATAGCTGGGGAGGAAGAGGTGGATTCATACCTTTTTCAAGGGTATTTGCATGTAAGTGAATATAACGAACCCAACTGGAATTGGAACATGGCTCTCCAACGAACAATTCCAATCCATTATAACATATGCACATCCAAGTTTACAGCATTTGGTATTCCCCAAGCAGTCACCCATTTAGGTACTGACCAGGCTCAATGTTGCTTAACTTCGGTGATTGTACAGAAACCAGGGTATCAACATGATGTGGCTGTAAGCCATCTGTTTGGTCAATGAATGCCGAATGTGTAAATACGTGTTGGCCTACGCCCACATAAATGTCTCCACCAATCAATGCATTTAGCTTAACATACTCTCAGAAGAGTCTGGAAATATCTAGAAGTCATATAAAGACAATGTACACATTAATAGATACTGTACTTTGATCAATACCTTGGGGTTAGCACAGAGGCTGCAACGTTCATATTTGATTTTCAGGGCAGCATCAAACAATTTCCCTGGATTCCTCAATTTCTTCTTTAGTTTTTTCTTGGACAAATTGCTGTCTTCAACTGACAGTTCGATGAGAGGTCTCTTTAGTTTACCACCTTTCTCAGATGTAGCATTGGAGTCCTTGTTCACAGGAGATGGGCTGTTTAAAAAGGAAAAAAAAAAAAAAATGTAACGCTGACTTGTAGCCATCATTTTAAAATACACAGACAATAATAAAAAATTAAATTAAATGTTCACGTTTCTTGTACTCACTTTTGAGTTTTCTGAAAATCATATCCATTAAGGAGATTTGACAGAATTTTACAATTAAGTTTCCAGAAGAGTTGATGTAATTTTATGAAACTCAGGGTAGAGACAAGTGAACATTTTATTTTATTATTATTATTATTATTCACACTATTGCTAAAGATTTATACCGGAAGCCAAATAGCAACAATTTGGAGGGGGAAAAAAAAAGGAGAGAGAGAAGAAGATTAGGGAGTGAGTCTAAAGCTGGGGAGGGGAGAACCAAAGTGATGAAAAGGACAAATAATAATGACAGAAAATTTCTTGGCCGGTAAATGTTGTTTAATACTGTTTATTATAAACAGAGCATTTACTTAAATATTTGTACCTATAAAAAGAATGTATCAACATAAAAATGTCTTAAAATACACACACACATATATACAGTGTAACCCAGATATAAGAGAATTGTCGGGACCGGAGAAGAAGCATCTTATATCCGGGTTTGGTCTATTTTGTTTACATTAACACAGGCTCTAATTTGGGACCAGAGAAAATCTCTCTTATATCCAAGTTTCTCTTATATCCGGTTTTACATATATATATATATATATATATATATATATATATATATATATACACATACACACACACACATACATACACACACACACACACACACAAACACACAAAAAATTATTTTCGAATTAGATTTAATAAAAAAACACTAAAATGCAGTCCATCTTACTATCTGGGTTTCAACTGCAAGGTCTCCTTAGGCAAGTAGACTTATTTGCCTAAGGAGACCTTGCAGTGAAAACCTGGGTAATAAGGTAGACTGCATTTTAGTGTTTTCGTAAATATTTTTGCTCTTCCTTTTCTATTTTGGAATTTTGTATTGAGCACTTATTACCTTTTAGTTGCAGCTGTTTGCAGCTTCCTATTACAGTATATTATTTTATATTTTATATCGTATATCACACACACACATTTTTACAATTTTCAAACATTGTCTATAAAATCAAAATTGTGTATAAGCTGCTTCAAGTACTTTTGATCGTCTTGGTCATTATCAAGAACTGGATGTTGTCAGTATAGTAGACAAAATTTTGTTGGCTATGTCCAGGTGTTTTTAAAGTGCTGGTATTCAAATTAATTCAGGTAAAATTAGTATTTACTAAGGTTGTACTTAAGGTTGGGGGAGTAAGAAAGTGACAATGTAATAAAGGTGCTTACTCAGGTCGTACATAAGGCTGGCAGATCCAGTAAGGATGAGGTAGTCCTAATTTGTGGGCAATGCTTGGATCCTCTTTACTATGTTCGATATCATGCTGCAAATTGAAAACATAAAATAAACTTACAAGACATTTAGTATATAATAATAAAAAAAATAACTTGCAAAAGAAAATTTTAGTACGATTTAGATTGCATAACATGAAATCTAATGGGGGAAAAAGTTATTTTTATTATGAATTGCTGGAACAAGGGAAAATTACTACGGTGAAATACTGTTTGCTTTGTTTAACCTTGAGCACACTGTATTATTAATATCACTTTCCTTTCTACTGCGTTCTTTTTCAAGGCTTCCTTACAGTTAATTCCACTCAAACTTGTTTTCTGTTGCCATAGCAGGATATGACAACACAACCATGAAATTCAAAAACATTATTCTTTAGCGACAGGATAAACTTTTTGTATAGCAAATGAAGTCACAGAGTGATAACAGTTAATGGCATATGAATTGGGTCATTTAATGCCGAATACCTGGCAGCCTTAAGCAAGTTGATGATAGAACATGGTCTGAGGGAGGTGGCAGAAGGAGAAAATGTATTGAGAGCTACAAGCAACAGGGGGAAATGGAGAGCCATGATCAACTACACCCTGAAAGGACATAGCAGATAAAAAGAAAATACTGAAATTTAATTTTCTTCATAGCTTTGACTTGATTTGTCTGTTTAATGACATATCAACTCCTTATGGGTCATTTAATACTGAAATTTAATTTTCTTTGGAGCTCTGGTAATTTATTTATTTTAAGAATGTATTGCTGCTAATTTTACTATAAAAAAAGGTATTTTTATATTTTCATAATGTTTTAACTCCAGTTTGGGGGTTTACTATTTGCCCATAGCTGGGACCCTAACAGGTGCTACGACCCCAGGGTGAACCTGGGAACAACATTAATTAAGATGTGTTTCCACACTCTTCAAAACCTTTTAATCAGAGGCCTTGTTGCTGAATTTAGTTGTCGTACCCAGGACAAGTGAAAAGTGAAATACTGTAGTGAGCAACTGGCTTGTTTGAATGACAAACTGAAAAATGTTTTTTTTTTGCTGCATGACAACATTGAGGCTCATGTTGCAAATGCAATTATGACGTTACTTGGGTGGGATATGTTTCGCCACATGCAGCATTTTTATAAAGATTGCCACCTTCAGATTTGTTTTGCTTCATTCAACCCTTACGTTTTTTAAAACATCATGATCATAAATACCATAAACAATCAGGGTCATAGAGGCCCAGTGGTAATGCAGCCTATGGGGGTAGTCAAGTGGTAGTGCAGCCTATGGGGGTAGTCAAGTGGTAGTGCAGCCTATGGGGGTAGTCAAGTGGTAGTGCAGCCTATGGGGGTAGTCAAGAACCTAAACCTCTTCAGCCTAGTTTTGAGTTAAGATTTTTCATTCTCAGATAAGAGTTGCTCTAGCATGACAATAATAGTATGTAATAAAATTACACTATTTACATTATTCGGACTATTGTCTTCATCTTTGTTGCCATATTTATCACAACGTTTCAGACGATGTACACTCCGGCCTTCTTCAGGTGTTTGGAATGTCAAGCTGAACCCTTTATTTCACTCGCTGGGGTAGACTGTTTTAGTTCCATGTGTCATGTCTAATGGATGTCAGTTATCAGTTGTCTCCTGTTAATTCCCCTTTCCAAGCTCTCCACTGCCTTAACCAGGTATTGAAATCACACTGTCACTGGCTTAAAATAACTGGATCTAATCAACACCTTTATCTACTGTGCCATGTGTCCTTAAGGACATCTGTGTATGAATTTCTGGGAGTTATAAACTTAATGTCTTCAGCAACCATTTTTATTTTAATTTTTTTTTTTATGAGTGCTCATATTGCAATTTTTGCTGTTATCACTGCATGATTTTTTTTTTTTTTTTTTTTAAACCAGAGCTCATATTGCAATTTTTCATTGTGGTTCTATTGCTTTTTTCTGGCACTCCTTATTACTGGTTCCCATATTGTATTCATTTCTATGCTTGGTTGGCTCAGGACAATAATCTGAATAATGTAAATAGTGTACAAAATACCTCATCTCAAAAATATAGACAGGTAATAAAATTTGTAATAATAGTAATAATGAAGAGTGTATAGAGCCAGAGTGTTGGGATAAGAAGCAACAATGATAAAATGAAATGAAACTAGTAATAAAATAATAGTAATAATGAAGAGTGGATGAATCATAGTGTTGGGATGAAAAGCAACAATAAGATGAAATAAAACTAGTAATAAAATAATGATGATGAAAATTCTTCATTGAAGTATTTTTGATACCAATTGACTTGTTCAATATCGTTTCATAACGATGATACTTTTAACTTCTGATTATAAGATTCTTATTCAACTAATTCTAATATCTACCTACAAATCAGCTGCTCCAAATTTGTAACATTGAATCCAGCTTTCTTGAAGCAAACCAGACTGTTCTTTCTGGCTCTTGTTTAAAAATCAGACTTACCAAACATTTCTCCTTAAGCTGTTGGGTGGCAGATTTAAAACACTGGACAGTTTTAGCTTTGGCCACTTCTTCCCGGATGTCTTCATGGATCTGAACACTGAAATCCAAGGAAACACTTGTTTCAACAACAGACGCACAGTTCTCAAATGACATATCAAATTTCTTTTCAATGAAAATCTTGATTGAATGATTTATTTTTTATGTCTTATCAGCATTTTGCAGGTTAAGACAGAAAATATTTTTTTGAGATAACAATGATTTAATGATACAAATCTTACTAATTAACCCATACCTGGGGGATAAATGAAGGTATCTGTGTGTAAGTGAATATAACAAACCCAACTCAGTTCTCTAATTAACATTTCTGAGCCATTACTCATTTCACCACTTGCACTAGCAAGCTTACAGCACCTGGTATTCCCAAGTGGTCACCCATCTAGGTACTGGCCAGGATAGACATTGCTTAACTTCAATGATCATATGGGAACTTGGCTCCCTGATCACTAATTAGGAGCCATTATCCATTTCACCACTTGCACAGCCAAGCTTACAGCACCTGATATTCGCAAGCAGTCACCCATACATCGTTTTTGTTTTTGAGAATTTGCAAAAAAAAAAAAAAAAACACTATTAGATTGCTTATTTACGAGAATAATTTTATATTTACAAGATTCTAAAAACTAATGCAATATTTATCATTTACCAATTTATAAAGAAATAAATATGAATACAATTTTTTATTCATAAATTTATAAACATTTACTAAATAATTAAAATATGGGAATCAACTATAAGGAAATCCTCATTATTTACCATTTTATAAAGTTTGAATCAATTGGTAATTAGCTGATATTTTGCCAACCATTCCAATAAATAATAGTGTAAAACAATGCAATAGTGTTTATTATTTTTGTTGTCAAACCTTCTCTCTCTCTGTTTTAATATGTCCCTCTCACTTTCTGTTTCTCTCTTGGACACTCAATACAGTCTGGATTTAATAGGATTTTTGATTAGAATATTTATTCTTATTATATTACAAAATGATTAAAATTATTAAAGAATGATTTTATTTTTAAAAGATCAATTGCATTTCAGGGATGAATTTGTACTCAACACATTGTAAGTTCATGAAACATGATTTAACACCTGACCATAAAACAACTGGCTTGATCTCAGATGATCCCCAACTCCAATTAACTCTTTGTGTTCCACTCCCTTTTTATCTCTCTGCATTCCTTGTTCTTTCTGTTTTACAATGTCCCTTTCTCAGATGCTCAATACTGGTTGGGTTTGGTAGGGGTTTTGATTAGAAGAACTTCATCTATATTTATTATATTACAAAATGATTATAGTTTGGTTTATTTTGTTTTACGGCATATCAACCTCAATGGGTTATTTAATGCTGACATTATTTTTAAGATAGATTCGTATGAATAGAATATGTATTCATTAGTTTAGATTGGTTTGGTTTATTTTGTTTTACGGCATATCAACCTCAATGGGTTATTTAATGCTGACAACATTTTTAGGATAGATTTGTATGAATAGAATATGTATTCATTAGTTTAGATTGGTTTGGTTTTTTTTTGTTTTTACGGCATATCAACCTCAATGGGTTAATTAATGCTGACAATTTTTTTTTTACTGCTGGTAATATTTTGTTTTGTCAAAAATCTGTTTCTGGTAATATTTTTCCTTCAAAATTGTATTGTAGGTAATAATTTTTTCAAAAAACTGTTGCTGGTAATAGTTAACTATTTGCCCATAGCTGGGATCCTAACAGGTACTACCACCCCAGGTCAGGGTGGACCTGGGAACAACAGCAATTAAGGTGGTTCCATGCTACTCAAAACCTCCTGATCAGAGGCCTTGCTGCTGGACGTAGTTTAATGTCTTACCCAGAACACGGATGTAGTTTACTGTCTTACCCAGGACGACAAAATGATTATAATTATCAAAGAAATATTTCAACTTCAAAAGGTCATTTGCAGTTTAGGGGCAAACCCCTGAACTGCAACCCCTCATTACAAACATCTGTCTTTATCTTAGATCAGCACTCCCCAATGCCTCTATGTATTGCACTCTTTTCGTTTACTTTACTGTCTTTTTCTATTTTACTTGGTTTTTCTTTCTTTCTCAATATTCGTGATACCAAGTGTGACACATACCACATATATAATACAAAATATGTGAAAAGGCTGGAAAAATTATGAACATTGCAATGAAGATGAGGATGACAGCCCAAATAATTTAAATAATTATAAATATGTAAGATCAATAATGGAGAGAAAAATTGTCTAGCACAACACAGGGAACCAACTTGTCTCACTAAAGAAACCAAATGTTAGTACCAAGAAGGTGCAACAAATCATTCTCCTGGAGGTTAGCATAAGCCATGGAAGGTAGAAAGGAGTCTTTCAGATTGATAGAGAGCAGTTTCATTTTGGAGGTGTTAAAATTAAGTCATTCCTTGTTCAAAGGTAACAGCAGATTGTAGGTCATTTAAGGGAGGCTTTTAGTAACTCATATACTGACATATATACTAACATTTGAATACTGTACACCGCCTTTTCTCAAGTGCATAACAAATAACCAATTACTCACGCATGCTGGAACAACTTGAACAAATGTCCACGGATGTACGAAGTGGAACATGGGTATTTATCGACCAATTCCAGATATTCTTCAGCCATTTCCCAGACAGGAGGGCTCACTCCATTAAATAAGGCAGGGTTGTGTAAATTGCCTTCTGGAAAAAAAAAAAAAAAAAAAAAAAAAAGAAAAGAAAAGAAAAACTAGGAAACTAAAACCAAAGTTTTGATTGATAGAACGATTCATTTTTTATATCTTATCAATCAATTGCAGGTTATTTAAAGCCATAAAATACTTTCAGGTTATGAGAATTTTTTTTTTTGAAATAATGTTTTAGTGATACAAAGTCTTACTAATTAACCCATAGTTGGGGGGAAGAGGTGGATTCATACCTAATCAGTGTTTGATAAACAAAAAATTGTGGGTATAAATGGAGGATCAATTCTATATTACAATCAATGTATAAACTGATCCCTCGCTTTGTGGCCTCAGTAGTTTCTATACATTCATATTTCAGAGGATGTAAATAAATCTAAAAGACATGCCTGAGTAGCTAATCAGTATTTCATTGATTGATTGATTCATTTTCTAACGCTTATTAACAAACAAGAAATTATAATGTGGATATAAAGTGGGGGATAGATTCTATATTACAATCGATATATAAACTGATCCCTCACTGTGGTCACGATAGTTTCTATATTTATATTCCAGAGAATGTAAATAAATCTAAAACACATGCCTGTGTAGCTAATCAGTATTTCATTGATTAATTGATTCGTTTTCTATGGCTTATCAACAACCAATAAATTATAATGTGATTATAAAGTGGGGGATCAATTCTACATTACGATCAATATATAAACGAATCCCCCATTTTGTGGTCACTGTAGTTTCTATACATTTATATTTCAGAGAATGTAAATAAATCTAAAAGACATGCCTGTTCAGATAATCAGCATTTCTTTGATTGATTGATCGATTCATTCATTTTTTATGGCTTACCAACCCTTTGCAGCTTATTTAAAGCCAGAAAAAGGAACACATGGATCTGGGTTATACTAGGATCAAAAAGGTACACAAGGATTAGCTTGATATCCGAGTTTGCAAGTAATCAAATAGAAGGTGGTCACTTCTGGGAAAGCCTTACTCTTCGACTTGGGTGCAGTAACCCCTTCCGTCTTAGTGGCTTTATTGCCTTGCTTGGGGTGAAAAAAAAAAAAAAAAAAAAATGCTTACCTGCAGACATGATTCCATTCACACCTGTTTCTTTAACACACCTGTCAGCATCCTCCAAGTATTGAATGTTTCCATTGGCAAATACTGGGATGTTTACATTTTCCCTGTCAAAAAATAAATAAATAAAAAATCAAAAAAAAATCCTGAAATACATTTTTTTCAGGTTAAGAAATAACTGTGAAGGCAGCAATTCTTCATTAATACAGGTCTGATTAATACTTCTGCTGCTGTGAACATATTTATGTCTTTATAAAACTAACATAATCTGCTGTTGACATACATACACACACACACACATATATATATATTATATAAATTTATTCAAAAACTATAACATAAACATGTTATAACATCACTACAAAAATAGCCATTTTGTTTCAACACATCTAGTATCTTCTCAAGTTATGCTGCTGAATGTAGGAAGGTTCTACATTCAACACCATCACTTGAGGAGACACCAGAAGTGTTGAAACAAAATGGCTATTTTTACAGTGACATTATAACATGTTTATGTTATAATTTTTGAACAAATAATATTTGCTCTACTCCGCATTGAGCACTCTTTTAAGAATAATACTTTTCCTTATTGGAATTTATTCCGTCTACATCAATACTATACTTGGAGATATATATGCACTATATTAGGAATCACTTATATATCCGCTACCATATTACAACTATTAAGGTCTTGTCAGGTGGTAGATGCTAGTAAATTTCTTAATGCTTTATTGGATTATCTTATGTGCCCACAACAGAAAGTGTGCCAGAAGACGAGGGGTGAGGTGAGAATGGGGAAGTAGGGTGGGATGGAAAGTTAAAAAAAAATATCTATAATTTCATCCAGGTTTGTATAAACCAAAATATACTTTTTAGTGTGTCTATACCCACGACATGACCCTAGACCCTCCAGTTAGCAGCCCCACTCTGGTCTGGATACATCACCACTGCCAGTTCTTCCTCCTGGCACAGCCCACAGACACCACTACTGTTGCATAGCCCTTTGGTGGGGGTTGGTCTTGGGGCGATGGTCTCGGTTCACTGATATCATTGCCTTCTTCTTTCTCAGCCGTTGATCGGCAGCTGCTTTGTTCAGAGATAAAAAAAAAAACATCCACAAATGGGATTTTAAACTTATCTATTTTATTAAACATGTTGATATGTACATTTTTAACTAGCCAGTGGGGTTGATCTATCACCCTTACTGGAGAGCAAGTTCCCCAAGACATGAAATATCCAGGTCTACAGTGTATAACATGTAAAACTTAATTCCCTGAATCACTTTCTATCTCTCTAACATTCCCATTGTTAGTTTCAACGAACAAAAATGACTTCCTTTGTTTTCCTGCATCTGACCTCAAAGGTCAAAACGAGGAAGTCAGAGAAAAATACAATTTTCTAAAAAATAATTCTTTGCTAGACTATTATTTAACACTATCACAACTGTAAGGTTTGGTTCTCCGCAGTATGCTCCTGCTTATATTAGAGCTTTTGTTGTTATTTTTTTCCTGTAATTCCCACACATAGCCGGCCAGTCTGGTACAATCTCTATGTCTTTCTATTCTGAATGATGACGATATTCAATGCAAGGCATTCATGCATTTATTAAATAATATCTTGGAGGATTAGATTTGAAATCCTGGGAATTTTGTATTTATTTTGGTAGGCTTTGAGCGCTTCTAGTATTAAGTCCATTTCAATTGAAAGAGAACAGGCATTAATTTTTGAACAACCCTTGTACCACATATGAAGGGGAAACCATTTTGAGAACTAGATTTGGAATCCTCAGACTTTTATTCATTTTTAGTATGCGTTGAAATCTGTTGAACAGTTATTATTTTTTGACCAATCCTTGTAGGTTTGGTTTGGTTGGTTTGTTTTACGGTATATCAACCTCAATGGCTGATATAATGCTGACAAAATTTTTATTGCTGGTAATATTTTTCCTTCAAAAAAGTATCGCTGATAATATTCTTTTCAAAAAAATTATTGCTGGTAATTTTTTACAAAGTATTTCTGATATTAAAACCTATTTTTACACTTTCATAGTGTTTTGACCCCAGTTTGGGGGTTAACTATTTGCCCATAGTTGGGACCCTAACAGGTGCTACCACCCCAGGTCAGGGTGGACCTAGGAACACCAGTAATTAAGAGAGGGTTTCATGCTCCTCAAAACCTCCTGATCAGAGGCCTTGCTATTGGACGTACTTTATCATCTTAACCAGGACATGGATATAGTTTATCATCATACCCAGGACAGCCAATTCTTGTAGGAATGTAGATATTACATAATAAACAATGTAACTTATTTTTATCCCATAATTTCCATCTTATATATCTGAAACTATCTAAATATAATTTCACCAAAGACAGACAAATTTATAGCAAAGGAAGAGAGTTTGACCATGAGTGATTTAATGGCTTTTAATTTATAAAAAAAGTACTTACTTGACAGCCTTGATATGTTTCCAACTAGCTAATCCAGTAAGAGGACCCTTCTGTTCCCGAGTCCTGCCATGAACGGTCAATAACTGTCGAATAAATTTTAATATAAGAAAGGAATCGTGTTGTAAATCATTTCATATTTTACATACATTCTTTCAACAGTTTCTTTTTTTACAGAGTTATTATTAAATGCACCACAATTAAAAAAAAGGAGGAAATATCAATAATAAAAAGATAATACATAGGACATACCACAAACACACTCTCACGGAGGCTCACCTGCTACCTATCAGTCCATCACACAACATATTAATAAGGATCATAGTAACATTAGACATCTACTCAAACAAATAGCAAAATCAAATTTATGATCCTCAAAGCGATACTCATACAACAAAAATAACCATCTATAAATAAAAACAATTATAATTTATATGAATAAATATATAACACATAGGATATACAGCAAGTAATCTGTTTGGAAGAGAGGGTTGCTACCCCCACCAATTTATACTAGCAGCATGGCCTGTGCGTGATTCAAAAATCGTACGACTCATACAGCAATCGCTATCACTTGACTTAAAATATTTTTGCCCTTCCTTGGCTTTAAAGGAGTGCCCTTTGCCGTGCTGATGTTGCTACATGCCTTACTTCTTGCCTATCTCACACTGCGAATTTTTTCTAAGCTCTATACTAAACATTAAATCTGTTACGAAAAAGAACTAAACAAAATGAACACAAAACGATCAGCTTTAAAAAAGCACTCGTAACTAGAAAAACCAAATGAAAAAAGAATGTTAACAACAAATACTTTTTCACACCCAACCCAGTTCTGTGGAATCAGAATCAACATTCAGTTTAAGCAAGCAAATGAGCCAATTGGAGTAAAGTGCCATGCAGATTTAAATTTTTCCCACTTGTGACGAATGCAGCTATCGATTTTTATGCATGCTAGTTAACATTCGTGTCAGTCAGCTGTTGGCCCTCACTCTGGCCAGTAGAAAATGGCCGCAAACTACATGAAAACTGCCGTAGAAGCATGAAAAAAATCAATTATTTCCACTATTGATGGGAGTTGGGAAATGCAAAGTCAGTCTTGGCCTTCCTGCTAACTTGGAGCATGTGCATGTAAATTTTGGTGCAAATCCGTCAAAAATTGCAGCCGTGCATTTGTTACACACACACACACGCACATCCTGCCTTTTATAGATAGAGATCAAACAGATGCATGATGGGATTTCTTTCTAACCAACAAAATGAACCACTTCTCAGTCTTATCTGCCTTTTTTTTTTTTCTCTTTCTTGCCTTGAAGCCAGAAAACTGCATTCACTTGACTGTATCCCTATTGCGTGCGAAAACTATACTTAGTTTGTGAACATTCTGCCTTATTGCTGTTGCCTTGCTAACTTTTGACTTGTACATATAACTTTAAAAACCAGGAGGTCAGTTGAATCTGCTACCTTGGTTTCAACCTTATGATATCCTCAGGCAAGTTATAGAAAATGACCTCTTAACACTTTATTTTTTTAAAGAACTAATGAATGCTACATTATTATTTTAAAAAATAAATAAACAACTGCTCAATATTGGGTGTAATAGAAAGGGAGAAGAAAGAAAAAGAGGAAGAGAAAAAAAGGAGAAGGAGGCTGTGAAGAAGGAAGAAGAAAAAGGGGGAAGAGAAAAAAGGGAGAAGGAGGATGTGAAGAAGGAAGAAAAAAATAAAAAGAGAAAAAATGGAGGAGAAGGATGTGAAGAAGGAAGAAGAAAAAGGGGGAAGAGAAAAAAGTGAGGAGGATGTGAAGAAGGAAATTTAGTATTTTTTGTTACTACTGTTTCCTGGTCTGATTCAACTCTGACCATTAACCTTATATATATATATATATATATATATATATATATATATATATATATAGAGAGAGAGAGAGAGAGCTCTGTCTCCAGGTAAGATGAGAACAAAGTAATTCTAACGCTTGTAACGTTTAATTTAAAAGAAGGCTCAATACAAAGTTGACTGATATTCTTTATTTTAGGATATTACATTGAAAAACATGCCAAAAATCGCAACACATTTGCAGCCTTTGATGTGTATCAATGCATCTCTTCAGGCAATTGTAAATTTTTTTTATTCATAGATGGTTGTTTTTGTTGTATTAGTAGCACTTTGAGGATCATAAGTTTGTTTGTAATTTACAGTCACCTGATGAGAGGCGTTGATATGCACACAACTACAAACAGAAATTTATATAATTTTTCAATGTACAATTGTGTATAAATATATTATTATATATGTTTTTTTGTTTGTAACAAAATAAGTATATATATATATATAATATATATATATTTATAATAATATATATATATATATATTTTTGTTTGCTTAGTATTATTTCACACTGTTCTTTTTGTTCTTTCATTTTTTTTCATGATTGGTTCATTTTCTACCGCTTATTAATCTTTTGCAGCTTTTTAGTGATACAAGTCTTACTAATTAACCCATAGCTGTGGAAGAAAAGGGTATTTGCATGTATGTGAATATAATGAACCTGACTGGAATTGGAACTTGGCCGAGCAATTATCCATAACACATCCAAGCTTACAGCACCTGGTATTCCCAAACAGTCACCCAATTAGCTACTGACCAGGCCCAACATTGCTTAACTTCAGTGAGCTTACAGGAACTGGTGTTTCAACACAATGTAGTTGTAAGGCTTTATTGTTTATTGGAACAATGTCAATTCCATTTAATCATGGCCAATTGCTCTATAGTTTTCATTTAATGACATTTAATGAAATGACATTTAATGGACATTTAAAAAGGATACTTATTGCGCTCTAGTAGGCCACAGAAAATGATCAGGCAGGTTGAACGTGGCATGTAGGCTGTAGTTTGCCCACCCCTGTTGTAAAAGAAATTTTGGGGAGTTATTTTTTGTGAAAAAGAAAAATAGCCGTTCATTAGAATATTATAAACTTACCTGGCAACCGGCCTTTTCTAACATCTGTGTATAATTAACTGTCTTCTCAATGCTCTCAAACACACGAATCTTGCAGGTAACAGGGACGTGTAGTTTTCGATGACAGAGGTTCACTGTACAAAAAAAAAACCCAAAAAAACTTCACATTTCTAGTCAATATAAAATACCAATCAATTTGATTACTTTTTTGCCCTTTAGAATTTGTGACAGGAAATGTTGAGACTATCTATTTTTTTGTTTAAGAAAAAAAAAAGAAAGAAAGCCTGAATAATAGTGATAGAAATAATGAAAGAAAAGAAAAAATGAAAAGAAAAAGAGAAAAAAAGAAAAGAAAAAGAAAAGGAAAGAAAAAAGAAAAGAAAAAAGAAAAGAAAAGAAAAAAAAAAAGAAAAGAAAAAAAAAGAAAAGAAAAAAAAAAAGAAAAAAGAAAAAAGAAAAAAGAAAAGAAAAGAGAAAAAAGAAAGGAAAAGAAAAAAAGAAAAGAAAAAAATAAAAAGAAAAGAAAAAAAGAAAAAAAAAAAAAAAAAAAGAAAAGAAAAAAAGAAGTAGAACCAAGTAAAAATCTGCAATGTTATTGGCCCTGCACCTAGTATCTTGGCTTCAGTCACTTTCCAACTACCGTAAACTTGCTTCCTTATGTCTTTTTCTATAAATACGTTCATAGTAATTGTTTAGATGAACTTTTTACTATGGTACCTAGACTTTATGAATTTAAGTGCTCAACTGGCAACAAGGTCTCACTATATTACAGTTGAAATGGCTACATGTAATTGTAAGTTCTATGCTAATAGTTTTTTCTATCACACTTCTCGCTTGTGGAACTCTCTTTCAAGCTTCTTGTCAACATCGATCTTCAAAAATTTAAATGCAATGCAATTGTTAACTTCTGCCTTAGTAATTCCTATTCTTTTGTTTTCACTCCTTAATAATGTTTTTCTTTTTGTCTTATTCTTTCACACTCAGTAACCCCTTGTGTCTTAGTGGCTTTATTGCCTTGCATGGGGTGAAATGATTAGAAAACAAATTTAAATGCAATGTCAATCGTTATCTACTGTCTTCTTGATTACTCTTCTTCTATTGTTCTCGCTCCTTAATAATGTTTCTCTTTTTTTCTTATTCTTTTACACTCAGTAACACCTTGTGTCTTAGTGGCTTTACTGCCTTGCATGGGGTGAAATGATTAGAAAACAAATTTAAATGCAATGTCAATCGATATCTACTGTCTTCTTGATTTTTCTTCTTCTATTGTTTTTGCTCCTTAATAATGTCTCTCTTTTATTCTTATTCTTTCACTCAGTAACCTCTTAAGTCTTAGTAGTTTTATTGCCTTAGATCTTCAAAAATTTAAATGCAATGTCAATCGTTATCTTCTGCCTTCTTAATTCTTGTTCTTTTATTGTCCTCTCTCCTTAATAGTAGTTTTTCTCATATTCTCTAACTCAGTAATCTCTTGCATTCTAGTGGCTTTATTGCCTTTGATCTTCAAAAATTCAAATGCAATGTCAACTGTTATCTTCTGTCTTTTTAATTCCCATTCTTTTATTGTACTCTCTCCTTAATAATTTTTTTTTATGTTATCTCACACTAAGTAGCCCCTTGCTGCTTAGTGGGTTTGTTGCCTTTTTTGGACTGGAATGATTAAAAAATGAAAATCTTACCCATTTTATAAAGTAGATCCCATTCGTCTTGCAGAAAGGCGCCATAGTGACCCTTTTTGGCAATCTTCTGGGGGCACCCAAGGTTAATATCAATGGCATCACAAGAGTTCTCAGCCAGTTTGGCTGCCTTGAGCAAGGTGTTTGGGTCGTTGGCACAGAACTTAAAGAAAAAAAAAAAAAGTAAGTTCTTCAACATGATAAAGCAGACTTTCTTAAACAAAATAAATTTTCCTGTTTCTTAATATTTCCTTAGCTTTTGAAAGGCATCTTTTTCTAGTCCAATGCACCTTTGGACTTTGGTGTGACAGTATTTTTCTTCTGAAAAACAAAAAAAAAAAACACTTACCATTTTCTCTAAAACTTCATTGTTGCTTATATGTTCAGTCCATGGCATTCACAGTATCCTTCTGTAGAACCCCATTTCTATTACTTCAAGTTACTTCTTCATCTATGAGGAGATTGTTCAGCATTCACTACCATCCTGACTGATATTACATCACAGCTTAGTACTCTTTTCTTTGTTTCTAATGAAATTTTTCACTTTCTTGATACTTTGCTTAACTTTTAGGAGGCATCTTTTGCTATTCGAATGCCTCTTTGAACTTTGGTGTCACAGTATTTTTCTTCTGCAAAAAACACTTCATAGATTTTTAAATTTTTGTACTTGCTTGATTTTTGTTATCCCCAATTTGTAATTTGTATGTTGGGCTGCCCCTTTTGTTGACAACCATACATTTTACCTTCTTACAATTTATGTTGATTTTTTGCTTTCCTTCATTATCTTCTGTATGAGTTCCTGTAGTTCCGTTTCTATTTCTCCTATCAGCACTGTGACATCTGCATATCTTATGTTGTTAAGATCGTGCGCATCAATGATGAATCCTGGTAGGACTTCAAATTCTCTCAGGATTACTTCATTTTAAAGGCTGAATAAGTCTGGTGAGAAGACACATCCTTGTCTTACAAACCTTTTTATTTTTATGTGGTAAGTCAAACTTTCATGCTTAGTAAAGTAACTTTCTGAATATCTCTGTAAAGTAATTACAAAAGGAGTTTCTGGTTTTAGTCATAACATTTCCATGAATTACAAGCACATGAATGTAAACTTGTATTAATATAGCATTCTACTGAACATAAAATGGGGGATCGATTTTCTATTGTTATTAAGTAATAAACTGATCCTCCCATATCTCTTTCTTAATACTTTGCTCAACTTTTAGGAGGCATCTTTTGCTATTCCAATGCACCTTTGAACTTTGGTGTCACAGTATCTTTCTTCCAAAAAACAACAAAAAAAAAAAAACACTTCATTGATATTTAAATTTTTGTACTTGCTTGATTTTGGTTATCCCCAATTTGTAATTTCTATGTTGGGCTGCCCCTTTTGTTGACAACCATACATTTTACCTTCTTACAATTTATGTTTAGCCTTTCTTCTTGCTTTCCTTTACCAACTTCTGTAGGAGTTCCTGTAATAACATTTCAGGTTATGGCTTGGCAGGTGATGTTGAATGCTGATATCCAGAGAGTGTGCTCTAGCCCATGACAAGCCATCTGCAAGAACTGCTTGTTAACAGCACCTTGCTCTGCTCATCTCCACGATTACTCACAATGTTGTCATGCCACCTAATGTTGAAAATGTACCTAAGATGTGTTGATAAATGCCTTCAGTTTTTTTTTTTATGTAAAAATTTTTGATCATTCTCCATGTCTTAGAACTGTAGAGCATGGCCGATCTGATGTTGGGAGTAAAAAGTTTGTCGAACATCTTTGCAACAGATCATCATTTTTTTTTTAGAGCACATCATTAGGAACAAGAACTTCCCTAATTAAAATCAAAAGTGATTTAATTAACACATCCTTCAGCAAGACAATCATTTTTTTTTCTTGCAAGTGAGGGCTTAAACTTCCAGTGAAATTATCACAAGCACAAAAATGCCCATTTCACTGAAGACAATATCCATTGATTCTGACTTGAGAAAGTCTTGCCCATAAGAATGTGATTGAGATGCATTAAAAAAAAAAAGAAAAGAAAAAGAGATTGAGACAGAGAGATGGCAACCTGCAGCAGAGACAGTAAATGGGAAAGTAAATGGGTATATATATATATATATATATATATATATATATATAAGGTGTCCCCCTAAAAAATTCGACATCATTTCGCAGGCCAATAATTTGGGTAATTCTTGTTGAAATAACCTCAAATTTTCACAAAATGTATAAAAACAGATCAAGATTTTATATTTATTGTTTTATTTTTGTTATCGCTATGAGAATCTGTCAGAGTGATGGATAAGGCGTGGTGGAAATGACAGTTTTCTGATGAAATCTCTGTACTACTTGTGTCAAGGATTGAAACCACAATTCGTAATTCAATGCTTTAATCTACTAGACTAGTTTAAAAATTTTTCAACATACAGAATTTGCACACTGGCCACTGATTCTTCAACGCATGGAATTCGCACACTGGCCAATTGATTCTTCAACGTACGGAATTCGCACACTGGCCAATTGATTCTTCAACGTACGGAATTCGCACACTGGCCAATTGATTCTTCAACGTACGGAATTCGCACACTGGCCATTGATTCTTCAAGGAATGGAATTCACACACTGGCCATTGATTCTTTCAGCAGAGAATTTGCACACAGGCCAAAGATTTGTCAACACACAGAATTCGTAAACTGGCCAATGATTTGTTAAAACAGGATTTGCAAAATGGTCAACGATTCTTTCAGCATGGAATTTGCACACTGGCTAATAGTTTCTATAATAATTATTCAATGTAATTTTGTTCAGTAAAAAAAAGATTGATAATGCAATTCTAGATCAAAATCTGCTGAGAATCATTTTTTTAAAGAAACAGTTCTTTTGCATTCAACCCACTCAAACCCTTCCCGTAAATATTGGCTCTCAAAGTCTTACTGCATGACTTACTGTGTCATTTGCAATTTTATTTTTTTAAGCATTTTATCCCAAGCAAGGTGGGAATCCACCAGCACACAAGGGGTTACAGGGAGTGAAAGTGAGGGCAAAAACTGTAGTTTGAGGAGAGAATAAAAGATGAATGGGAATCAAAACACAGAAGATGGTGGTCGACGTTGCATTTAAATTTTTGAAGATTGTAGTTATCAGGGAAGCAAGTAAGAGGAAGGGTGTTCCACCGTCTTGAAGCCCAAGCAAGGAGGGAGGGCCACTATCACACAGGGAGTTAAAGAGGGAAAAGACTGTGTATAGCGAGGAATGAGGAAAGGATGAAAGAAGAATGGAGACGAAGGCAACAAAAGATGGCGATTGACATTGCATTTCAATGACGCCGTCATATTAAGGCAGAGTATACATGGGGCGGGTTACATTGGGTTGAACACAGAGAGCCAATATTTATAGGTGGATTAAAAACCAAAAAATTAAGTCATCCTATTTTTTTAATATAAACAGAATAGTTTTCTCACTTGAACAATGAGTGGACGATCTTCTTCACAGGTTGTCAAAGATTCTTCTCTGTATGTTTGGTTCCGAGTAAACACGGAGGCATGCAACATTGGGGTGTAACACAGCTGAGCATGTTTTCAGAATAAGCATCCATTATTGATAAGTTCGCTCTGATCCACCATTGGTGCCACCACATATTTGGCACTCTTTAACTTAGTCCTCCAGAATTCAAAGCCACTGGGTTTTTCATCAATTCGATCTGAATCAACAAGAGAAAAAGAAACAGCAAGGAATGGTTGATGGTTGGTTGGGTTTTATGGCATATCAACCACTGTAGATCATTTAATGCCAAATTTAGTTTATATATATATATATATATATATATATTTATTAAATATATAGTTAGTTGTAAAATCATCTATAAGCTAAGAGCTTATTTGTTTGCACACTGCAAAATAATTCCTTTCCTATTACTGTCTAGGACAAGGATTTTTCATTTAGTATAGACATTTTGTTTTATACAATGTTAAAAGGTAGCATATATTAATTTCACATCAGACTAAATCCTTGATAAAAGACTAATTCTTTTCAGGAAGTTTATTATATGACTTGGATCACTTTTTGTAAATAGTTTCCTTTGTTTCTTAAAGTTGTAGAACTTTTTTGTTTGAATTTTGCTTAAGGTTTTGTGCATTCTATCAGTATATGTTTTTACTGTGTATTGTTTTTATACATGGACATTTAGGAGGAGGCTCTCCTTCTAGTATGAAGGAGGGAGTCAGTCTAGTGTGTCCAATGCAAAACATGGACCAAAAGTGGTTTCTTTATTTCTTGTATTATTAAGATTCAGTTTCCTTTATTTTAAAATGGGTTCTATTTGGTAGAGCTTGTAGGAATTTTTGTCCCATATTTGTTGCCATTTTTGGATTATTATTTCCTTGATTTTATGTTTTAGGTCAGAATATGGGATTTTGGAGTTCTGGTTGGGTGTCATGTTAAGTACAGCTTTTGCTAAGGAATCGGCTTTCTCATTTCCCTGAATTCCAATATGACTTGGGATCCAACAAAATATCACTTTTTTAACAATGGAGTTGATTTTGTTTAAAAAATTGACAATTAAAGGGTTATTCAGTTTTGTATTTTTTTATAGATTGTTTTAGAGAGATGGAGTCATATGGAAGATGAATTTTTTAAGTTGCTTGTACAAATAATCTTAACAAGACATTTTATTGCATAGATTTCGTCCTATTTTTTTTTGTGATGGAATGGGTTTGATGGTAATGCATAAAAATTTTCATACACGTACGTCTGCAATAGCTAGTGATTTTCTGTCTACAGTGAGGGATATAGAGACTAAACAACAACAAAAAATGTTTCTTTATTCTAAAGAATGTATTACTTGCATTATTTACATTATTCAGACTATTATCCTCATCTTCATTGCCATATTCACAGCATTTCAGCCATTTTATATTCTGGCCTTTTTCTGGTGATTGGAATTTCAAACTGAACTCTTTATTTTGTCCACCAGAGTAGATTGTTCTAGTTCCACACGCCATGCCTCTTTTGGATGTCTCAGTTACTTCCTTTTAACTCAACTCTCCAAGTTTTGGCCCACCACTGCTGTGGCCTAGTACTAAACTCTGGATCTAACCAACGTCTTTCTCCACTGGGCTATTTGTACTTGAGGACATCTGTGTTTGAATTATTGGGACTTATAAACCTAATATATCAGCATCATTTTTTACCAGTGCTCATATTGCAATTTTTTATTACTATTTCATTTTTTACCAGAGCTTACATTGCAATTTTTGTTGTCATTCATTGCTTTTCTCTAGCACTCCTTATTACTAGTATTGTATTCATTTCTATGCTTGGTCGGCTCAGGAGATTTTTGTGGCCTAGCACATGCGCTGATTCCTTAAGTTTTCGTATTTTCCAGTGACGCTGTCTGTCTATTATTTCAACCTCATCCCACAGGGAGCAGTGATCTTTCTTTTCCCTCTATATGAACTGTTGTGAATTTGGTAACGAAGATGAGAATAACAGTCTGAATAATGTAAATAATGCAATTAATAATAACGTCTCATCTCAGAGATATAGACAGATAAAGAATTTGTCAAAAGAAAAATTATTTTCTTCAGCGAATAATTTTATAATTAATGCCATCTCATAATTACAATACACAAGAAAGACCTGCGAAAATTTCAGTTTTCCTATTTGAATCTGAATTTTTAAGTTAATGTTTAAGTTCACAGCAAGTTTATCAACAATAAAATAGCCACAGAAATTCTCCCCATTATGTTAAATATTTGGGCTTAACAAAATATTGTAATAACGATCATAAATATGAACACTGGGCATAACTTTAAAAAGTAAGGGGGTACAAATGAAAAGATTTGATTGATTCGTTTTTTGAGATTTTTTTTTTTTTTACCAGTATATCAACCACTATGGGGGTCATTAATACCAAAACGGTATTATTATCTTGTGACATTTTGTTTGAATATTTTTGTCTATATATTTCAGGTAGGTTGCATTTTTATGGCTCCTAGCAAGTTATCATTTTGGGTTGGTATATATTTATATTCTGGTGTATTACAGCATACTAGAAAGACTTGTGAAAATTTCAGTTTTCCTATTTTGATTTTTTGATGAATTTTAATTAAGTTAATGATTGAATAAGCTCATAGCAAGTTCGAGGAGAATAAAATACTTGTAGAAATTCCCCTATCATGTGGTTAAATATTTGACCACAACCAACTTAAACAAAATATTGCAACAATCATAAATATCAATGCTGGCAGTTATTTTAAGAAATGAGTACAAGTGAAAAGATTCGAAATTGACAACTTCTTCAATTTCACTGAAACCGACATTAAACATTTCTATCATCCCTTATTTCATTAATTTATTTTCTCAATGAAACCAAGTAGAGTATGTGATTGTCATGAGCAAGATATGTGACATCATGCCCCCAAACCGCCCATACATTGCAGTGTATGGTGCCACAGAGCAATTAAAAGAAAAGAAAATTAACAGAGTGCATCTACACATATGTAAAACTCTCCCGGCTCAACCAATCAGCTGCTTCGTCATCTTATCTTACTTATTATAAAACGCAGATTGTGTGTGTGTGTGTGTGTGTGTCTGTAACGTTTATATATTGGATCAGATTTCCTACATTTTTCAACTGATTTCAACAAAACTTCACAGGACTACATAAAATTACCTTGTGGTGGTTCTAACAGTGCCAAAAATGGGAAAAATATAATTGTTTTTGCACAAAATCAATTTAAAAACATGATTAAGAGACATTGTGAAAATGGAAGGGGGACAACTCACATTGGATTGTTTGTGTGTGTGGGTTCCTTTAAATTCCCATATTTCCTATATTTTTCAAAACAAAAATTAAAAACTTTTTTTTTTTTTTTTTTCAGGTAGTGTTTTATTCTCTTGCACACTTTTTTTCTTTATTTTTAACATTCAGAATGCTTTAAAAAATTCCATTTACAAGACAATTGTTTATAAAATTCTATTCAATTGGGAGACTTTTAACGATTGAAAACAATGTTTTTATCTTGAGTTTGGGTTTGACCAATTTCTAAAAAAAAAAAAAAACTAATTAAGACATTTAAAATGTCAACCTTAAACAATAATCTTTGTCAATTTTAGTTTTCAGTCTTTATGATGGTGGATACTTGATCTATCTCTTTTGTTACATCCCGGGCAAATAAATGTATTTTACTACTAGTGGACTATAAAATGAGTGTATCTGAAAGCTTTGGCAGTAGGGGCCGAGGAATCCAAAGCCAAATTAGAACTTTTTACCATGTTCTAGTGGGTTCTTTTATAAAAAAACGTGATGGCTACAGAAAATATGTTTTGTTTTTATTATGCAATTTTAATGGAATAGTCTGTTATTTATAAGGTATTGGCAGATGTTAAACATCTTTCTTTCATTCTAGCCAAATCCCAGTCTCATGAACATTTCTCTTAATAACAAGTTTAAAATAATTCAGCAGATGGTGTTATTTTATTTATGCTAACTGGAGTTTTAGTGTTTGCTTCACCTGTTTTTTATCATTTGATATTGTAGCATCTGAAAAATGGCACTTTTTAAATGCCAAAACTCAAAAGGATGGATTTTTGCATGACACCACTTTCATTTTCATTAACTTCACCCTCCGACAATGTTTACCGTTTTAAAAAGTGATAATTAGAATTGCAATAAAACCTAATCATAGTGAAATTATATATTGTTTAATTGTTTCAATTGTGAAGATTGGTAAAATACTGATCTAAACTTTATTTATAAATTAAAAAAAAAAAAAGAAATTTTAAACAAAACATAGGCTCCAAAGTTAAATTACACAACTAACATAATTTGATTGGTTCAAAAATATCACATGGCATGTCGTCAACTACATCTGACCTTAATTTGACCTGATAAAAGGTGTGGCACCTTGCATTATTAGAAATATTCATAGAAATATGATTTAATTTTTTCTTACTCAGTTTATTAAACAGGTTGTTAATTTTTTTTTAAAAACGGAAAATAACTGAGTTGAAAATAATTCACTAAGAGTGTACTAGACGATCCTAAGGAAAGAAGAAGGAAAGAAAGGAAAAAAAAGGAAGGAAGGAAGAAAAAGAAAGAAAGAGAAATGTATGACGCATGACCCAATTGAGGGTGGAGATAGGAGTCAGAAAGAGATTTAGGTCAGAGCACTTGGCCATTTTTAAGAATGTCGTGGAAAGACTCATTGGACAAAGGGAAATTTCTTTGTAGAACAATAGAAATGAAATTTTTAATCAGAGAAAAAGTGTCTTTGGGTTGAGGGGAGTGACCGGTGGAACGATATACAGACCTGTTAAGAATTGGACACCCACGTTAATAAAGTAGAGACATTTCAATGTAAATAATTAAGATTTTCGACTATCAGGTAAAACAAAGAGGTAAAAAGAGGGACAATTGCTTTTGACTCACAGAGGGCGCCAGAAGAAGGCGGAAAAGATCCTTTCTAAAGTCAAGACTAATTAGCAGCGGGCTGTTTAACAAAGTCCAGGTGAGAGAAAGCCAAAGATTGTCATTTTGCGTACGTGCAAA